ATTTAAAGGCATAATACTCTAAACTCTCAGGCTAAACCTTTTTCTAGTATACCACACTCTCTCTTCAACCAGTATCATGTATTCATGAATCATACTACTGATTACACTTCATCCAGACTTCTTATTTGCTTACATTCTGTCTTGTCAGGAAAACTTCACAAAGTTTCAATTTATCTAGTGTGCACATTCCTCATAGAACCTTTAATTCTAATTTAGTGCCCCATTCAAAGTCTACACACCCTCCTCCTCCTCGTGAGCTTCATAAGCAATATACTATATTGGTTAAAGCAAGCCCTTTCGAGTCAGGTTCCCCAGAACTGGAGTCAGCTGCACCCATTTACCAGAGCTATGCAACCTTAGGCAGTGTCTTCATCTGAAAAATGGTTTAAATTCAAAAACTTACATTAAATGGTTAACAGAGTGTTTGACAAATAGTAGATGCTTAACCAACGTCCATCCCAATCACAACTCTTTCAGCAGTGCCTGTGAGACTCCTTTAGCTGCCCTCCCCCTCCCTTTCCAGGTGTCATCTCCAGGTAAACCCCACTCTGCTTCCCCTATCTCTGCTCCATGCATGCTCATTTTAATTATTTTGGCTCTGCGCACTTTGTGCCCAGGATTTCTAAGTCCACAGCTCTAGCCCATATACTTTCTCCAGAGCTCATTTTCACCTGAACTTCTTAGCTTCATAGTAGCACCTCACTTAAAATGTGTTCAAAATTAAATTCATCACCTCCTCTCCAGCTCACCTCTCTTCAATAAATGGCAACCCTATTGTTTTTGCTAACTAAAATAAGGTTTTAGTTGTGGTATAATTTTATAAGTGGATACAGTGCTTGAAATCACATTTCCATTCTTCCAGGGCTGTTGATGACAAAGAATTCCAAATCAACAATTAACTGAAATTGATTCCAACTTAGTAGAAGAAAGTCTCACACAGAGTCAGCCCCCATTCATGTTTCCCCAACATTCAGAATCATCCTAGCTTTGTCTGATAGATAGAGTGTCAAGTAGAAAGTGGATAAGAGGTAAAGGGGGATTAAGTATTTGCCTGATATTAATGCTAAGCTGCTAATGAATGTCAAGGATTATTTATCCTCCTTGTACTAAGACAACCTTTTATTGTTTAGATCGCTGAGTATTAGATCCCTGTAAAGGACTTTCGGGGTTACTTGGGAAACTCAGGCACACTCGCCAGTTGTTACCAAAACCATCCCCAGTCTGGGGAGGAGCATATACCTATCAATCCTTATCTGCCAGGAAAACTGCTGTGAAAGGTAGTGAGACACAAGGAACTCATCCTAAGCTCAGTCATATGAAGAGTATCAATGCAAGCTACCAGGACTCTCAAATCCACTTACCTGGACCATCCCTTGGCCTTAGCCCCTATCAGGTTTGGATCTCTGAATAGTCACATGGGCTTGCCCACTCTAACTGAATACCAGGCTCACATCCTCCAGTTTGGCCTAAGCTGCAGGATCTATCTTTGGCCTTGTTCCCTGCCATCTTGTACAACAGTATCCCCTTATCCTTAGAACGTAGTTCCAAGACCCCCAGTGGATGCCTAAAACCATGGATAGTACAGAACCTGACATCAGAACATGTTTCTGTTCATGTCTTCTACCTGTACATTTCATGCCTTTCCAATCTTAACTAAGCATGTATCATGCACTGTGGCATAACTTCTGCAGTTTGAGGTGTGACAGCAAAACTAACATGAATTTATTTTTTCTTCTTCACAAATTCATGGATGGACTTATCCTTCCTTCTTATTGTATGCCTTAGCAACCTCAGCACATGATTTTTTTTGTTTTCTTATTAAATCAAGAACATTCACCATTTCACTTAAAGGAAGCACGTTACAGCTTCCCTTTGGCGTATTCAAATTACCAGCATCACTACTCTTATATGCCAGAGCCATTCTTAAGTAAAATAAGGGTCTTAGAATATATTCCCCACAGATAAGGGGGGATTACTTTATGTTTATCTGACATTAAAACTTTTTTTTCTCCTATACCATACTGTCTTTGGTAGATGGGCAATAACTTAGGAAGAATGTTGTTATAATCATTGTAATTACATTTTTACCTATATTCTTTAATAAATATTTCTTGAGTGCACTGTGCTGGGCTAGAATTACAAGGAATGATTCCAGATTCTTGCCATCAAGAAGCCTATACTTTAAAAGACAGATGTGTAAACAGAAGATTACAAAAAGATGATGGTGGAGTGTGTCAAGAACAGCAGAGACATAGGAAAAATACTATCATACATTGCATAACAGGGTTGAGTTCTGAGAAACGTGCCCTTAGGCAATTTCTTCATGTGCGACCATCATAGAGAGTACTTACACAGACCTAGGTGGTATAGCCCACTACACACCTAGGCTATGAACCTGTATAGCATGTTAGTGTACTGAATACTGTAGGAAATTGTAACACAATGATATTCATGTATCTAAACATATTTAAACATAGAAAAGTTACAGAATATATGGTTGTATAGTCTTATGGGACTACTGTTGTATATTTTGGTTCTTTCGTTGTTGATCAAAACCATTATGTGGTGCTTGACTGTACCTACAACTGTCTGGCAACTTCATTGTAAAAAGTAGCATTTGAATGAGACTTGATGGATGAATAGGAATTTCCCAGAGGGACAAAGTACAGGAATGGTATTTGTTTAGAAAAAAAAAAGAAAGAAAGAAAAGGAGACAGAGAATGAAACATCTAAAGCAAGGGTTGGTGTGGGAAAATACCAGTAGTTACGTATTGCTCTAGTAAGAGTACAGAGTGGGAGGTAGCCAGAGTGAAAAGCAAGGACCAGATAGATGAGAGAATGTTGACTGTTATTCAAAGAAGCATCAGTTTTTTTATCCCCTTCACAGTGTAAAACCATTAAAGAAATGTAAGCAGAGGAATGATATGATCACTTTTACCTTCTTACAGTTCACTTCGGTAACAATATAAAGTAAATATTGAAAAGAAATTAGATGAGAATAAAGAATATAATGTTCCAGATGAGAAACGAAGGTCTGCACTAAAGCCATGGGGGCAAAGAGAACAAGACAACTAGGGAGTAATTGAGCAGAGAAACGTGTAGCAACGTTTTGGTTCAACTCAGTTGGGGAGCCACAAAACCTTTTACCATCACAGATTCTTGGTCTCCCCACTTGCTTTTTCTCTAAATTTAAACAAGATAAATAATAGTTTTCAGTTTATGATATGGCTTTTTTATTTATTTCATATAAGTAGTTAGCATGTTTTTTTACATTTTCACATCTGGATCCTACAGTATAAAATTGTGGGGAAATCTCATAAGTTTTATGAAATCTTTCAACTTCATCATGAAAACTTCAAAGTTAAGAATATATGGTTCATCCATCTAGCTCTTCTAGTATGTGAGCTTTTGGTCTGGAATTTATTTCCAGTCAAGTTGCAATGTAAAATCACAAGTAAAATTGCCATAGTTACTCCACATTGCAAGTTCTGACATCATCATAATACTGCATTAGGTATAATTACTCATTTCTCTTTTCCTTTTCTCTTCCGTTAGTAAGACTCAAGAGTTATGACTTGTAAACTACTCTTTTTTTGTCTATGAGTAGCATTCATCATGACCTGTTGTCTCATATACTTCAAAGAAAGACAAAGTGTATTATTCTGCTGTACAGGGAAAAAGGAAGAATATAAGTGGATTTTCCTTAGATTTATAAATATGTACATTCATACATGTATACACATTCATATACACACACATATATAAATATACCTATTATACCAACATTCTGTCTTTATGATGTATATCTAAGCAGGTTAATAGATGCTAAAGACCAATTTGACCATGACGTCACATTAATCATGATATCCAGAAATTTTGATCCATTTCTCTGTAATATACCAAGGAAACAATAGATTCGTTTAGCCAGGTGTTTTTTAAACTCACTTTTTAGAGAGTTTTTTTAAACTCACTTTTTAGAGAACAGAGTGGGATATTCAACGCTCAGAAGGAAGATGTTTCTCCATCAACAGTACTAAGTAGTATAGCAAATTGATTTTTCCAACATAATATGCCTTAAAAATTATTTCTAAAAGTCCACTAACAGATTTTGTACATTTTATAAATATTTTGCTGTCATTGAGATATTTACTATTAAAGTATCATTTTAATTATTTGCTAGGCATATCTAATTTCTCCTATCTTCATATCGTTTCCCAAAACAAGAGAGTACAGTACTAAAACTGTATAAAATAGCTACCTAAGATCATGATATTAACTTATGTGTCTTTAAGTCAGCATTCTCCAGAATCTAATTTAATTGAAATAGCTTTGCCTGTGTAAACTTTGCCTTTGTTTAAATAAGATTTCACTGTTTAGTTTTGCCTTAAACAAATGCAGCCTTTTGTTTGTCCATAAAACATTAGATTAAATGTATAGACTAATATGAATAGCTTCTCTTCATTCTACATGTACCACTAGCAGTTGCCCCCTTTGCTAGTATGTGGTGTGGTGTATTATCGTCATTGAAAACCAGGCCTCTATGTTTAGCCTGTTCTTTGGAGAAAATAAATTTTTGGCAAGAAAAACTATCTCCTTACCCTTATTGATTTTAAATTTGAAAGACTACATGAGATTCACTCTTTAAATGCAGCTGCTAATGTTCTTAATACAGTGAATTATATGAATATTTGTTCTCATAGTAAGTACACTGAGTTTTTATCTTTGTTTTAATGCTAGCTACCAATATTATCTAGCTATTCTTGGTGCCCTAACAAAACTTATTATTTGGTCCTTTGTGGGAAGTAATGTACAGTAAATGCTGTGATCATATTTGTTCCCTGCAATCCAACTGTGGTTTATTTTCTGGTTTCTATGTTGATGAATAATAATTTAGAGATACAATGCTTGGTTTCTTTGTTTTTTGTTAAAGCTAACATCAGAATCCCAGTGAAGGGGGCAAGTACCATGTTATTCTTGTAACGTGCATTTTCCCTGTTCAGGCAATGCTGGACGTGGCTGCAAACCAGGGCTGGCTGGTGACTGTCCTGAATATCACCAATCTGATTCAGATGGTGATCCAGGGTCGGTGGTTAAAGGACTCTTCTCTTCTTACACTACCAAACATAGAAAACCATCATCTTCACCTTTTCAAGTAATTGTCTTACTTTTCAATGTAATTGTTTTGTTTTAATTTTTAAAAAAATATATTTTTTATATATGTAGTCACTGAAATTTTATGTTATGGAGAATACTGATTATTGACATGGAAAATACTCCTGTTTCCCAGAGTAAGACATGGCCAACTGACAACATTTTGGTTTGAAATTTGATCATCAGTCCCAAGCTGAACTATAATTTAAACTTCTCCTATCTAAATCATTTTCCATTTGAAGCATTGGATACATTTTTTTCTTGATTGCATTTATTCTTTTACAATATCAATCTTCATTTAAGAAGACATCATTAAAATGCTTTGTGATCTAATGCAAAATAAATGGCCAATGTCTGTTATTGTTGAAGAGATTTGAGATATCTGAAATCCATTGTAAAAGTAAATTGTGCATCTGTAAAATGTCCCAAACTACGTAGTTACATATATTAGGAGCTCAAGATATAACCTGTATGTAAGAGTTTATGTTAGCATCAATTATTTAACTCATAAGTCTCATGTACATGACTGAAATATATTTGCAAGGAAAAGAACAGTGTTTAATACAAGCAGGGTTGGCAATGTTTAATTGGAAATGTTTCTTTCACACCAGTGTTTCACGCCAGTTGAGAGATAATTTGCAGCCAAAATATTGGTTCACAGTCATGTAGACAAGCAAAACAATCTGGCTGTAGCTTGCCATCATGCACTCGTACTCCTGTTCATCCGGATAAGGGGTGGCAGTTATTTGAGACATCTAGACACAGATGCCAACAAGAACCTCAGGCACACACGAAGTCTCCTTAGGAAAGTCCCTCAATTTGACTCAAATATATTGGGTTCCAGGGCAGTTGTCTCCATGGTACTTGGGTTCCAACCATGGGATGTCCCTAGAAACTAAAAGACACTTATGCCATAGCAGCAGCAAGTGGCATGGGGTGAAAGGCAGATAACCTCCTCTGTGTGTCTGCAGCTCAGTTTCAGGAGCCCTTCCAGTATGGTATAAAAGTTATGGGAGTAGGGTTTCAGCAGTAAAGAACACACATTAAGGTACTACCACACATAGCACGCAGGTCTGCTATGGAAGCTGCTTGAGACCTAAGAGATTTGATACAGTTTTCACAGCACTCTTAAGAGTTTCAATTATATTTTTATCCTTACTGGAATATTTAGGTGGCCTGTGTTTCTGGGATCTAGCACTACTTATGCTGTAAATCTCAAAAATTCTCAAAATGAACTTTTAGCTTTATGTTCCCAACAACTTATAATTTAAAACTTTATTTAAGTAATTATATTAAAGACATTTGCTGCACCCATTAAGCACATTTCAGGAGTCCAGATCAGTACTTCATGTACATGGAAGCATTACTTCACATTAGTGTCTTCCTGTAGAAAGACACCCAATGTCTGTGAACCCTAAGTGTTTACTCAGCTCACACATAATTAATACATTTTATGTAGTAGTAACAGTACTGCCTAGGGCTGTTATCCATACAGAATGCTGGCTGAATTTTTAAACTTAACATAATGGTCTTAAAATGTCATTTCTTAATTGAAACAAAAAAAAGTTATCATTATATAAACCACCATTGTCAGAAAATCATCTTTCTGCTGTGAAACAATTATTTGCTTGGTTCGATATTATTTCCTAGGAAATGGAAGCCAGTTATGAAGGGCCCACATGCTAGGGGTCGGACCTCCATCGAGTGCCTTCCCGAACTGATCCAGGCCTGTGGAGGTAAAGACCATGTATTTAGCTCCATGGTAGAAAGTGAGCTACATGCTGCAAAAACGAAACAGGTAAGACCATCTCTTAAGTGTTTTGAAGGCTCCCCTACTCAGAGGTGTACCATGAGTTTTCTAACTTAGAGCATGGATTTTGGAACCAGACTCACCTTGAGTTAAATTGTCTCTGCTATTTACTACTATGATTATGGACATGAAAACATACATGTCTCAAGAAGTTCTTGTGAAAATTAAGGAAGATACTCTTATGTAAACTGCTTTATACAGTTCTTGACATAGAGTAAGAACTCAATAAATGAATACTAAAAATAATGACAGTAATAGTAACTAATAGTGGTATTTGCATTACGAGAAGTTGTTTCAGTATAAATGCTACTAAATTGGCTGTGAAAAGCCTCAAGTAGCTTGTCCATCACTTGGCTGCATTATCCTAGCCTTCTACTCCCTCTCTTCAGGGTAGTGTTTCCTTCGGTATGCTTGGTATATTTTCATGCAATTCCCTCAGTTATTTGTTTATGCCCCTCTCTTATTATAATCACTTCGTTTCTAGATCCAAAAGTATCCTTTCAAATAAACCGTGTGTGTGTGTGAACCATATAACTTACACGGAAAGCTGAATCTATATTGCGAAAAACAACACGGATCATGTCTCCAAACAATCTTGAGGAAGACCAAAACTATGAATGAACAATGCCAGAAATATTTGGCTATCTAGACTTTAAGTCTTAAGCAATTTTACCCTAAACATGTCAAAGTAAATGTTCAGGATTTATAACATAATTAACATATTGACTTGCAAATATGGGTATTAAAGAAACTTCTAAACCATGTCTTTTTTTTTTCCAAGTGGAACTTATTTTTGATCAAGACTTGGAAAAAGTGTAACAAGCATTAACGTCTGATTGACTGTTCAGTTTCTGTTGAACCCAAGATTGGCACAAAATACTATTTAAATATTCATAATAAATGCCTACCTTTCCAACTAAATTACCATCAAAATTATGAATAAAAACAATATATTTAAATCAAAACAAAGCTTCTGTTAGCAACAACAGATTTCCAACATAACATACATTGATTTCAAGCCAAGTTTTAGATATGATGAAAAATTAGAACATTGTTATAATTAGTTCAGGGAGAACTCAGAAGTAAACTTACTTAATTTATTTGCATAAATTGCCATTCTGTTATCTTTAAAACCAAATGCAAATTGGCTCTGTCTGATATGATGATGGTTATTTGGCTCAAAAGTGCTTCAATTTGCAGAGCAATCTGGTGCCGGCTCTGCAGTGAGGCGATCCCAGGTAACATACAAATCCTGAATTATTCCAGAAATTAGTATGTTTAAAGCATCAATTTAAGTGCTAATTGCAGTAGTAATGAGAAAAAGCAGTACGACTGTGAGATTTGCATCTTCTACCCCATCAGTATGCCTGGAACGGCTGCTGACTGGCAGAGGATTTGGCTGCTAATTAAATAATTGTATGCATGGCAGTGCTCTTGCCTGATTCAATAGATGAAGATTAATCCTCAGATAAATATGTTTGGCTGGTATTGAAATGTCTTAGCAGTTTCTTTAAAAATAGTTCATGTTTTATATACATAAATATATATACACATATATATCTCCAATAAATATATGTGTACACATTGTAGATTGAAAATAATAATAACGTTAAGTCCTACAAAAAATTACATATATATAAAAGCCAGATATGGCATTTGGGGACTTTGTAAAGTAAAATCCCAATGAATTGCTGATAACAAAACATTATATTGGTAACTAATTTAATGGTACAAGTAAAGAAACGTATCAAGTCTTGCTTCGTGTGGTAAATATTACTTGTGCTGTCTGACAAAGTCAAATGCTTTACAGAAATTGTGTTTTTAAGTCCCCTTAACCACTTTTCCAGACTGGCCAGTCCTAGAAGAACATCCAGTGGTACAGCTTCTATACTTAGTGACTATGGGTTCTAGCAGGGGATAGACCATCCTTTGTACTGGAAGTACACTCTGTGGCTTGACTATTTCAAAATCCAGTTCAAGACATGATTTCAGATTCATAAGACAAGTTATAGGATTGGATTTGAATTGAAAATTTGCATTGAATTTACATTTTTTTTAATTCCTAAGGGGTAGTTTGGTTCATCAAGGCTACTTCATTTCAATTAGGTATACTCAGCAGCAGTAAGCAAGATCAAAGCCTATAAGGAAATATATAGTATGTATTAAAGGAATAAAAGGAAAACCAAAATTAAAATACCATGTACTTTTAAAAACTAACATAGAAGGTAACAACTGATTAAAAAAAAAAAAAAAAAAAGCCAATGTCTTGAGAAGTTTTCTTGACTGATGCTGATATTGCCATAGAATTGTATATGTTATAAAAAGATGACCTCAAGTTTCTTTTGTTACCTCTTTTCTGTAGACCTAGGTATTCATTCATTCATTCATTCAACATTGGGGAGCACTTGCTATTTGAATACTGATTTTTCACAAATGTCTTTCCACTTCAAAAGCAGTATAAAATTAGGTAAAATATCTTTTAATGTGTCATTTTAATTGGTATTCTCAGCATAATGATGCCAAAAATTCATGTTTATTTCTAGAAGGAACCCTAGACTTATAGAATTCGTTGTGAAATATCGAATATAAAGAAATTTTTTTTTCAGAATAAATAGGACAAATTTGAAATAGGAGCCAAAAAATGTACAATAAGTGGTCAGTGGAGGATTCTAACATCAATTATTCAATTACAAAATTATTTTCAGGTTGCCCATTTATCCCCAAGTAATGCTCTCCATCTTAGAAGCCACATGAATGTCTGAATAGATGCTTCTCTAAAACAAACCAGTTCGACAACAAACATTTTTTAACTTGTTTTATTTTAGTATAGTCAACAGCTGCTCAATATCAGGAGGGATTTACAATAAAGAAATCATAAGTTTAAATAATGATAAGCCCTCTTTTACTTTTACAAAGACATTAAAAAGACTAAAAGCACAATATTTTTACACATACATGCATATAGCCACAAGTATAAGAAAAATTGAGGACATCTGAACAAAATCACTGGATTATGTTAATGTTAATATCCTAGTAGTAATAAGTACCATGGTTTTGAAAAATGCTACCTTTAGAGGAAACTGAGTAAATGTCCACAGAATGTCTCTGTATTATTTCCTGCAACTGCGTTGGATCTAGAATTAATCTCAACATTAAAAGGTTGATTTTTTTCTAAAAGCACACTATTTCTTAGTTGATCATTGCATTTCACATAAACTCTTCCTTTATTATGTTACTTTTCTGTTTTTATTTAGGCATGGAATTTCTTATCTCACTTGCCAGTGATAAATGTTGGCATAAGTGTTAAAGGCTCGTGGGATGACTTAGTTGAAGGACATAATGAACTCTGTGTCTCAACTCTGACTGCAGACAAACGAGATGACAACAAATGGATCAAATTGCATGCTGACCAAGAGTATGTGCTTCAAGTCAGCTTGCAGAGAGTCCACTTTGGGTTCCACAAGGTATAGTGTTTGGTTTCCATTCTCAAATATTTCACACCAAATACCAGCATGCGCCACCACACATATCTGTTATATGACTAATGCGCCCGTGTCATTCATGAATCCTGCTTTCTCAACTGGTCTTAAGCAGCGAGAGTTAGTCTTTTGAAATTCATGAGTTCTCCTCATGTGCCATTTTTCAGCCCCAGAAAATCTACCTTACATAAGAATATATTGCCTAGAGTTCTATTCTCAAAGTATGGTATACAGACCCAGTCCAGGAGAATTTCCTGAAGGGCCTTTTAAAGCGCAGATTCCTTGGCCCCACTCCAGACTGGCTGAATCAGAACCTCAAGAGGGGGCGATCTCAAAATCTATACCTTCACTCAATACTCCAGATGATTTTTAAGGGCCTTAAAGCTTGAGCAGTACTGCCCTAGAGGCACTTTGGTATACAGGAACTGCATTGGGCTAGATATAGATGAGACTGAAGCTTTACCACTTAGCTCTATGAATTGGAATAAGACATTAAGCTTTTCTGAGCCTCAGTTACCACATCTGCCTGCGTCCTTCATTATAATGCATAGAAGAGCTTTGTCAATGTTCATGCAGGCCAAAAATGTACAGTATTTTTATTTTAGATTACTATGCTCTTTTCTGTTGCCTCTGACTCCAAAATTAATTATCTGGTCCTTTAAGAATATTAGTACACAGCATGTGGGCAGATTGGTTTTTAGTGCCATAATAATTAAAATAAGAAAGACTTAGTCTTCTTTATGGTCCAGTGGATTCAGGGCTTTCCCATATCTAGAATAAGCCCTCAGGGGTGAAGCTGTAGTTCATTGGTATTGCCCCTTCTGTTCTCACACACAAAATGATCAGTAACTTTCTATTTGTACGATATTCTTTCAGTGTTGTACCTTCAAGTCTCACCTCATTTGATTTCTAAATCTAAAAAATCTGTCAGTGTATGGCCTCTGGCATTTCAGAGACTTTAATATGAGCTTCTTTTTTTCTTTTTTCTTTTTTCTTTTTCCTTTTTTTTTTTTTTTTTTTTTTTTTTTTGATACAGAGTCTCACTGTGTCACCCAGGCTTGGCTCACTGCAACCTCCACCTCCCAGGTTCAAGCATTTCTCCTACTCCAGCCTCCCAAATAGCTGGGTTTTGCAGGCATGTGCCACTACACCCAACTAATTTTTTGTACTTTTAGTAGAGATAGGGTTTCACCATGTTGACCAGGCTCATCTCGAACTCCTGATCTCAAATGATTCGCCTGCCTCTGCCTCCCAAAGTGCTGGGATTACAGGCATGAGCCACCACACCTGACCTTAATATGAGCTTTTGTTTGTTTGTTTGAGATGGAATTTCACTTATGTTGCCCAGGCTGGAGTGCAAGGGTGCAACATCAGCTCCCTGCAACCTCCGCCTCCCGGTTCAAGCAATTCTCCTGCCTCAGCATCCCAAGTAACTGGGATTACAGGGGCCTGCCACCATACCTGGCTAATTTTTTGTATTATGTTGGCCAGGCTGGTCTCAAACTCCTGACTTCAGGTGATCCACCTGCCTTGGCCTCCCAAAATGTTGGGATTACAGGTGTGACCCACTGCACCTGGCAATATGAGCATTTTTAGAGGACTTAATGTATTCCAACTTATTTAAAAAGTAATATAAACTAATACTAGTAGTAATCATAAAAATAGCAATAATCATAAAGATAAAATCATAGGGGAAAACTATGATTTTTTACCTTAATATTCTATGTATAACATAGATTTAATCATGCCAGAAAATCTCTTAATTTTTGTTTCTGAATGCTGTAAAAATATATTACTCTCTGACACCCTTTTGAAATAAGTGAAACATGTCCCTCTAGAATACTGAGTGAAGTCTGAGAATATATCATGATTACTATATTTTATTATGCCATAAAGTCATTGTCTTAAAGAATCGTTAGAATAATCTTGCATTTTATAAAAATTGATCTAAAATAAAGACCTCAAGTGCGATCATTATGTTTATATCTAATTTGGATTGTGGTGATTAATATATTTTACAAATTGCTTGACTTAAAATTGCCCATTTCTCAGAGAAGGGACTCTTTAATATTACCATATTAGAATATATGCTTATTTATGTGAGTTTTTTTCTTGGATGGGGGGGAAGTATGTATTTGATATAGTACTCCTCATGTTGGGGTCCAGAGTCCAGTCTTGATTGGCTTTGTGTTTTTGTTTATTTGTTTGTTTGTTTTCTTAAGCATTCGTTTTTTGTGAATGAGGTTTTAGAAGATTTGGTTAACATGGTTATGTCTCAATTTGTTCATCTACCAATGTGGTATTAAAGTTAAATGTAGGAATAGCATGAGAATTTGCTAATTGGATGTCAAGATCCAGAGTTTTTTATTCTAACTGGCCAAATATTCTGATACTAACAACCACAAACTAGTGTCTATAATGTGCTCTGAGAATCTTGAGATAAGTTAAATAATTGCATATCAAAGACACCAAACCAGAATGGAAGAAAATTTAAAACATCTCAGATACATATGGTGAACTATGTAGATGTATGGTCTTCAAGTAACTCAACGTAGCCTTAACCACAACCAAGTGGTATAGAAAGTCTAGATATTTTTAATGTTGTATCTTTTTCTCTGGTTTATAGGGAAAGCCAGAGAGCTGTGCAGTTACTCCTCGGTTTCCCAAATCAAAAGATGAAGGATGGTTTTTGATATTAGGAGAAGTGGATAAGAGAGAACTTATTGCTTTGAAAAGAGTAGGATATATTCGAAATCATCATGTTGCTTCCCTTTCTTTTTATACCCCTGAAATACCTGGAAGGTAAGAAGAAGCCTACTAGCAAAGTTCTGAAAGAATTAAATATGATTGTGATTACAAATGTGGTTTTACATTTTTATTCTATTTTTATATTTTAGGTATATTTACACATTATATTTCATGAGTGACTGCTACCTTGGCCTGGACCAGCAGTATGACATCTATCTCAACGTTACACAAGCGAGCCTTTCTACACAGGTCAACACCAAGGTCTCTGATGCCCTGACTGACCTGGCATTAAAGTAACCTGACCTGAACAATCCATTTGAAAGGAGTGGCTAAGAATTCTCATTGTTCAGTCATCTAGACAACATCGAATTACTTGATGTTTGCCTTGAAAGGATCAACTTCTAACCTCAGCCATCCAGGAAATTGACAGTGGCTGCAGTATTGACTCCAGTGACATAAAGTTAACCACAGTGGCCTTTTAACAAATGTTGCCTTTTATAATGTTATCTTCATGAGTTTCTTGATATGTGAGATGAAAAAGCATGTAGAATAATCTTTTAATTTGTGTATATTTGAGGTGATATTTAGGAGCTATCAAATTTTACATCTCACAATGTACTGTTTACATGAATATTGGCTTTTTCTTTTTTAAGGAAAACTGCATTGAGGTGTGACAAGTGTTAGGACTTGTCACAGATTTCTAACTCTGCCACATAAAATATAAATATAAACCTGTAAGGTGATACACAGTGTGTGTTGTTAGCAAAATTTATACTTTGATATGATTACATGCAGAAGTAGCTTCAAGAATTTCTTATACTCATAAATGTTTTAATAATACGTGATGTAAAATTATATTATGGAGCCTAATGATGATAACAAAGAAAACAGAATATACTGATCTTAGAAAATGTAGATACAGTTAACTGGGAAATAAAATATAGAGTGACACTTCAAGACCAGTTGACTCAATGTTTTCTTCTGCTTCCTTTCCATAATATCCCCTTACTCATCTGTTCTTCTTTTCTTTCCCTTCTACTTCAAGGCTTTATTTCCATTATCTTTCTGACATATTTATTTACACAAGGAGAGAAGTATAATCTAATTCATGTTGTAACACTTACAGATCATATAGTACAATTATTTGTCTTTATGCTGTCCTGGACAAATCTGAGACAGAAAATTTTTGACCCCTGTGGGTCAAAGAAAATTTCTCTATGTGCAAACAAATTCCATCTTGAAAAATACTTTTTCAACCTGAAAAGTTGTTAAAATTCAATGTTCATTAATATGCATTCTAGTGGAATGAAATTCTACCTTTGTGAAATAATTTCAGTTTTCTTAGCCCTAAAATGAATTATTTTAAAACATTTTCCAATGTAACTGTTACAAGTACTAGAATTTCAGTGTTTCTGGGATTGGAATGTTTTGCTTGTATGTATCCTTTTCCATGCTTAAATAAAAAAGAAGAAGAAATAAAAGTAGGTTGCAAGAGAACCAGGCATTCACTTCCCAAAATTAAATCTAAATAACTATTGCAAGCAAACCAAGTATAGTGAGAATGAGGACTCTAGTCTGAGAAATTTACTTCATATAAAAGTTCTCTCTGTTTTTTGTTTGGAATTTATATCTTAAACACTGTTTTAGTGGAATTAAAAGAAAATGAAGATTATGTATAGATAACAATGACCAGTCCGTACAGGAACCTGCGGGGTAACAATCTCACTGATTTCGTGTTTACCAACATCATTCCTTTTTATTAGACAGCAAGCAGACTTGGGAGGTCTCCTTCACTGGACATATGACACAGGACATAGGAGCAATAAGAAAGTATTTCTGTTGTACCCATTAGAAAGAAGAGAAATAATGTGACAAATTTAAGTTAATCTTATTCCAATGACTGACCAACACTATCTACAACTTTATCCACACTCATTACCCAACAAAAATTATAGTGTTAAATGTGTCTTACAACAGGATATATGCCAACATAATCAGATTAGTACTACTGTTTACAGATCTGCAAGTCATTAACATCTCATAACTTTTTTACTGGCCAAGAATTTTGTCAGTGTTTAAAATAATTCCAAATCCTGATTATTGAAAGAATGCATTTGTTCTAAAGTGTCTTGCGGGGTTTTGTTTTCGTGAAGAGAAATATTGTGATAAAAAGGTTTCAAGGCTGTATTAAAAAGTGCTTTCTTAACTGATGTACCTACAAACCACTTATCTCAGAACCTCTGGGCTGGCTATTATACTATACAACTCTGTTTTCATGGCAGGTCATTTCATATTTCTCTGGGGTTTATCAACTCAAAATAATTGAAGTTCCAGTCAAGGATTTGTTGTAGGCACTGTGTTGAGTATTCTGATACCCACATGAATCAGAAACACATCCTGCCTTCAAAAAGGGTAACCTGGTGATAAAAAGATATTCATAATTATAATAAAAAGTAATTGCACTAATATTAGTGATGGGGGAAATGCTATGGGAGTTCAGAGGTAAAATATTACTTAGAAAAATCATGAAGTGACATTTAGGCTGTTTTTAAGATGCTTAGAATTGGGAAGGCACAGATGAAAGAGGACATTCCAGGTCAGGTAGAACAGCATTAGAAAAATTTATAGCTAGCCCAGCCTAGAGTGGCTAGGTCTGCATTCTCAGAGACATGAAAGGGATGAATGGGCAAGACGAAGGGGAAAGTCTGTGAAGTGACTGTGAATTAGAGAGTTAAAGACCGTAACTCTTATGTGAATACAATGGAATTTCTTGGCAAGTCACCAGAGGTTAGGGTTTGGCTATGTGGGAGCTTTCTTTATGAAAATGAATCTGGCCTCGATGTAGAGATGATATGACCAAGCAAGGAAGTGTAGCAAGAAAAGCCAAGGAAACAACATTCAAAACCTAACTGCAGTAAGGAGTCAGGAAGGACCAGAGAAGGTTACGATGAAGAACATTCTGAGAGTGGAACAGACAACCAGTGCAGAGAGGAGACAACCAGGAGCCTGGCGGGACACGCATCCATATCTGTGGTGGGTGATGAGTGCTAAATACTGACAAGAGGTCAGGGAAGTAAGAACCAAGTCAAGGGTCTTGACTCTGAGAGCGGTGGATCATGAATGATTGTTAAGAGAGTAAATTTAGCTAAATAGGAAGAGAGGAAGCTGAGATTTCAGGAGGTGAGGACCAGAGTGGGCGATAAGAAAGGAGAGGCAGTGAATGAAGAAAGTAATTCTACAGGTTTCGTTCAGCAAAGATCCAGTGTTATCACCTGCATTGAAGAAGGTGATGATAGAGCAGACAGGAATTGGTAAGAATCAGCTTGTTTCCTTTCAACATTCTCCCCTGCAACCACCATTCCTGAACACATACAAATATATGTATGTGCCCTCATCCCCACCATTACCACCATCAAGCTGAAAACTAAAACTCCTCACACATTTCCCAAAAAAAAAGTGTGGGGATCCTTCAGTCCCAATAATAAGAAAATGTAAAGAGGGAACCTACCTATTTCCTTGACGTGAATAAGGAACCCTTATCATACTTCAAAATTCCACTGCTAACTTTGATGGGAAGAGGATACAGTGGTGGGATATTCAGTCACCAAAAATCATCTGTCTTTTCTTCCCTTTACACATACAAACAATGCAGCGAAGTCCAAATATGCAAGATTGACCCACTCCCTCAAATTTTGATTGCCCTTTCTCACAATTTCATCCAATAGCCTTAGAAAATTACGTGTCACTTCCCAAGGACATGCTCCACACATACCTCCAGTTGCTCAGGACCAAAACTTTGGGGTCATTACTGACTCTACTTTTCTAATCGAATAGAAATTTAATTAGAAAACCTCAACCTACATCTAACCTGTCAGCAGACCTTTTCAGCTCTACCTTTGAAATCTATCTGAAATCCAGCCACCTTCCCACTGCCACCCTATCCACTCCACCTCCTGGCTGGCCTCTCTGCTGCTACTCTTGCCCCTTTTCAGTCTTTACACAACAATTTGGTTTTGAAACATAGGTCTGATCATGAGTTCACTCTGCTCAAAAGCTTCCAGTGCCTTTCCATCTCAAAAGCCAAAATCCTTACAGTACCCACAAGGTCCTGCACAGTGTTGCCTTCTCCCCTCACTACCCTCTGGCCCTCCTGCTCACTACACACCAACCACAGGAGTCACCTCCCTGCTTGTTGAACTTGCCATTTCTACTCCCTCACTTGGATGACTGTTGCCCCTAATCTCCTTATGTCTCACCATCTTATTTTAAATGGCAAGCCCACAAAACCTCCCTAACCCCCTCTCCTGTTTGGTTTTTCTCCATTGTTTTATCAACACTATTAAAATATGTGTTGGTTTATTATTAGTCTCTTCTGACTATGCTTCAGGAAAGCAGGGATTTTTGTCACTTCTGTTCACTGCTACAAAGAAGGACCTATATTTCCTGGCATACAGTCGCTCAATAAATACTTTCTGAATGACTAAATGAACACAGAGGCACACGGGAATTCTAAACTATCTCCCCCACAACCACCACCACCACCACCACCACTGCCTCCATACACAGAGTTAACCACCCATTCTTTCAGAGATTACAAGTACTGTCACACTCACCAAAAGCAAGGTACTAACTGATTGTCTTGTATCTTTTGTCAACAGAGGAAAGGTATATTTAAGTTAATTGGTAGTTTTATGATGATGATTGTTATAACTTATGGAAAAGAAGAATGAGTTTTTATGTAGTAATGGATCTTAGGTATTACAGATCTTTTAAAACTTCCAGTGATCATAGAATCTTTCTCACCTGAAGTTGTAGCTCTCTGTCTCTCTCCCTCCATCACTGCTGCTATTTTCAGTGAAAAGACCCCCAAATAGGAACTCCATATAGTTAAGAATATAGATTGATAATAATTTGGGGCCTTCTGTTTTTAGAAATAATCCAAAATGAGTAGGCAGAAATTAATTCATGAGCTGGCTTCTTAAAAGAAAAACCTGAATTAAGTTGTGCATCTTTCAAATGAGTATTACTGAATATAGAACTTGACTTCAGAGATGTGTATTAAGCCCTTGGATTAACTTTCTTTTTCTGGCTTCAGAAATAGAAATTCTAAGTCTAAGCAACACAGGAGATAAAAACATTTTGAGTTTCGTAAGTTTTAGTTATATTATTTTCAGGTACTCAAAAATGCTGAGAATGAGTGCTGATTCCAGGATGTCCTGGAAGCCTGTTTTTTAAGCAGTGGAGGAACAGCTATCATGAGTTCTGGAAAGATTTAGTCCCACAATTTCCACTTCAGTCCTTCCACTTTTCATCAAGGAGCATTCTGTACGATTTCTGAAAAATAAAGTTGTTCAAATTTGAGGCCTTTAAATGAAGTTTCAGGGGTTCTATTTTGCTTGAATATTCTTCCCAAGACTTTGCATTCCAATTTGAGAAAGATCTTGTGGGGGTGCTACTCAGATATTAGATCCTGGCTGACCCAAGGTCAAGCTTTTGGCTAAAAAGACAGCCACATTTGAATGGATACTTAAATTTCTATTGTTATTCTTCGATTGCCCTATGATTTGGAGAATTTGTTTAAAATGCGCCTGATTAAAGTTTCCTAATACTGTGGCTGTAAGTTGTTAACCATTCTGTAGAGACTTCCTGAAGAACATGATGGACTGTAGATCATACCATGTTGGTTGAGCAGAATCACAACTTCTAATTAAAAGTTCTTTGAATCCCCCAAACCCATGTTTCTTTACTTGTTAATTTTATTACTTGGGTGTCCTTGATTTTACTGGGACTTTCTAAGCCATGTAGGTGCCAGTCCTGACCATTGAAAACAAGTATAGTCTCCTTGAATGATCATACTTTTTGGTTCCAAGTTACACTGGAAGGAGTTTGTAATGATTTGAGGATTGCAGAGTTGATCTAAGATGAATTTCATGTGTGAGCTTTCACCCAAGTGTGGCTGTCTGTTGGCCTCAGAGAACTGTACTTTCCAGGATGTAGAGGATTGTTGTAGCTGGTTTTGGAACTACCTGCAGCTGATGGTTCATTTTTCCAAAAGGCCTAGAGGGTGCCAAAGTTATTCCTTTGAGGGATGAATGGAGATCCTGAAATAACCACATAATTCCTGAGAATTAGACAACTAAGAACGCTGAATAATACTGACTACCATAAAAAACAAAATCGCTTTTCTTATGATGACATTAACTGCAATCAGAAGGTTCTAAAAATGTTCT